TTGGTTCAGAATTCAACCAGAGGTTGGAAGGTGGCAAGTTGCCAAGTGGCCTGCAGACACTTACTTTTGGCGTCAAGTTTAATCAATGCTTGGAAGGTGTCACCTTTCCAAGCAGTTTGCAAACTTTGAGCTTCAGCGACAGTTTTAACCAGAGCTTGAAAGATGTCACATTGCCAAGCGGCCTGCGGACTTTGACCTTCGGCCAGGACTTCAACCAAAGCTTGGAAGGTGTCACCTTTCCGAACAGCCTAGAGACTTTGACCTTTGGCCACTGTTTCGACCAATGCTTGGATGGAGTCACCTTTTCAACTAGCCTGCACACGTTGACCTTTGGAGACAGTTTCGACCAGAGCTTGGAAGGTGTCACCTTTCCGAACAGCCTAGAGACTTTGACCTTTGGTCACTGTTTCGACCAAAGCTTGGAAGGTGTTACCTGGCCAGTCAACCTTCAGACTTTGACCTTCGGCCACTGTTTCGACCAAAGCTTGGATGGAGTAACCCTGGCAAGCAGCCTTCAGACTTTGACCTTCGGCTACTGTTTCAACAAGAGCTTAAGAGGTGTCATGTTGCCAAGCAGTTTGCAGACTTTGACCTTTGGCTACATGTTTAACCGGAAGTTGAACGCCGCCGCCCTGCCAGACAGCCTGCAGACTCTTACCTTCGGCTTTCTGTTTAACCAGAGCTTGGAAGGTGTGACATTACCAAGCAGCCTGCAAACGTTGAGCTTCGGCGCCTATTTTAACCAGAGCTTGGAAGGTGTCATCTGGCCAAGCAGTCTGCAGACTTTGACCTTTGCCGAGAAATTCAACCAGAGCTTGGAAGGTGTTGATTTGCCAAGCAGCCTACGGAGCTTGACCTTCGGCAGTGGCTTTGACCAAAGCTTGGAAGGTGTCACTTTTCCAAGCAGCCTGCAGCACTTTGGCTTCAGGAGTTTCAGGATTTCTTGCAGTGCATAATTTGCACTCATATTGTCACCTAGCTTGGTGTAATTAATGTGCAATTCATTTCCTTTTCTGGCACTCAGATCATCGGCAAAGCTTCTTTGATTTGGAGATGCTTCCGTGAAGTTGTTGCTGTATCGTCTCGGTGAGGGGTGGTCGCGAGATATTATAGTTCGTTCTGTTTGGGACAACCAATAGAACTGTGGTATCAAGCAACTGATTGATCTCTCCGTCATTTGGCACGTTCGGGAACATCTCGCTTTTTAGGTTGGAGGCCATCATCAGGAGGAGAGGAGCGGACTAGAACAGCAACACCACAAACACGTGCCTCCTTCGGTTGCAGGTGACTCATGAGACCTTGTCACCGGATGGATCTCCCTGTCTCGTTTGGTTTCACCGAAGCTTCGGCTTATCAGGTGCTCTTAAAAGTGCTGGAGAAAGAGGGTCAACGGTTTATGACTTGAAGAAAGAGGGTCAATGGCTGTGAGTCATGTGGTCGTTGTCCAAATGGATTAATGCAAATGTCTAAGACACATCAAACAAGTATAGATGCAATATGGACCACAGGACTTGCCTGCGTGACTTAAGGGGAGAACGTAGGTTGGATTTGCCTACGCCCTACGCGGAGTGTTTGGCTTGCGGATCCTACCGTCATCCAAACCCCCATTTTGGTGAAATTGGTTGAGTTCCCTTTGTGAAGGATCCGGGCAATGCAAAACCTGGCAGAAGGCTTGGGAAGATGATGTATTTGGACAGGTACGTCATGGTACCGCATAGTACCGCTAATGTGATGCGGCTTCAAATGGATAAAACGCTCCGTGACCGGCACCGTTTCCCAACTCCATCGTAAGCCACTAGTGAAGTACGTGAAGTTCAGACTTTCCCGACCGTCGAACTGACTCGACAACGTGATCACGACTGACGCAATGGCCTCCAACCTACTAGCAATGGCCTCCAACCTACTAGCAATGGCCTTCAACCTACTAGCAATGGCCTTCAACCTACTAGCAATGGCCTCCAACCTAATAGCGATGGCCTCCAACCTAATAGCGATGGCAACCAACCTAGTAGCGCTGGACTCCAACCTAGGAGCGATGGCAACCAACCTAGTAGCGCTGGACTCCAACCTAGGAGCGATGGCCTCCTCCAACCATCGCCTCCTAATTACTAGTGATGGCCTCCAAACTAATAGCCATGGCCTTCAACCTACTTTGTGAGATCCATTTTTGGGCAGGGAGGACCATTGCCACCTGGTGGGGCCACACACCCTGAGCCGGATGCTTGACCCAAACTGGTCATCCTCAATAATGTAGACTGCTGATTAAAACAAACTAAAACACTTGAATTGTGAAACCTCGTCCTATGTGTTCTTCTTTTTATGATGTGTTCAAAAAGGTCAAGATTGAACATATACAACGGACAGGAAGATAAGATCTATGACGCGATCTTCGTGCCAGGTATATGGACCTGTGACCATCTGAGCAGCTGAAAGCGGGACTTTGGTGAGTGGTGAAAAGTGGGAACCTTTGGTGTGGTGGGAGCTGTGACACTCAGCAGTGCTGACTGCTGAAAAAGACGGATTCAACAAAATAATCATTTCCAGTATGTGTACGTGTTTGCAGTGACCGCTGACTGCCACTCAATGATTTGTATATGTTGGAAGGTGAACACTTTGCAACTCATGCGAAGCCTGGTGGAGAGACTGACGTACATCAGTTCGCCATCAATTTCTATACGGTTTACGATCTGTTGCTTTCTGGCAACCAAATGAAACCCTTGTCAATTGAACCACCAGTTTTGCTGCTTTGCTGACGTACTCAGACCACTGTGTAATTGAGGCAGATCCCATGAATGTTTGAGGTCTTGTCAGTCTTTGTTTCATTGAGCCACCTTCCATGGCCCCGTCAAAAGTTCTTGACTGGCGCCCCCTGACTTTCCTTAAAAGGTTGGGACATTTGGATCGTTTGAAGCTAGTATGATGAGCACCCAGGAACCATGGGGGCATCCCTGCGATCCCACAACGGGAGCCGAAAACCATCAAACGGGTGCTCAACGGGTGAGATCCCTGGATGAATCGTCCGACTCTGGGCTCAGGAGGACTGACAACACCCGGCACCGCCACGTCTCAGTGCGCCCTGTTTCTCGGGTCTCCTTCGCCTCGCCGCCGAGCCGCCCGAGCCTCATGGCGTTGTGCGCCTGTTCTCGCGAAGCTCCGAAGCTCGGCACCGATGGAGACGGGAGACGTTCGTGACGAGAAAGCGGAGAAACGCAACCGCATCACCCGGTGCCACGACGGTGTCGGCTTTGTTGGGGTGACACCTCACCTCAAATGAACACGAGGATGCTGAAGAATGGGTGCTGATCGATGTCAGGTGGGATTTTTGATCAATATCGTGTCGTCCTTTGTTTGAGATGTTCTATTTTCTGGTGCGACTGGGGCTTGCAAGAGCTGGTTCTTCTATGTTTCTCCCCACTGATCCAGATGAGGCAGGAAGAAAAGCTAAGATTTATAGGCTTATTGTACGACAGGCCCTTCACCCTGCACTTACAGGGACGTGTTTGGTCCGTCACTCCACGTGGAGGTCCCTGAACCTCCGGCGGTTTGGGGCGGATAGCCAGACGGTGAAGAGCCTAAGGGCTTAGCCAGACGGCTTTGTTTGGAGAGATGAGGCGATGATCCCGGATATCGCAGTAGGAAGGTGGTGGTTGTGGTTTTGTCCACATGGAGTGTGGGATGTCCAAATGAATATTACATCAATTTACAGTACATCAATTTACATCAGATTTCATGTTATGCATTCTGCATTTGCTGGATTCGGAATTGCTGTAATCCGTTCCACTTGCCTGTAAATGTGGTGCAACAGATGCTGGATGAAATGAAGACCTCCTCCAACAAGGAGACGATGTTGCTTGTTTTGTTTGGCCTCAGCAGGGGATTCCATCAACCCAGATCTGTTTCCAAGGTCCAGATTTGGATGTCGTAGAATTTATAACGGAACGCGGGTCTTAACCTTGGTTTATGGCCGACGGACAGCCGGAGTAGACGCTTGAGGAATGCTTTCGAAGACTGGCGAGCTCAATGGCATCAGAAGCTACAAGCACGCCTCAATGAGGCAACGACACGGCAGCGGGCAAAAACTCGGTTCCTGAACGCTTCGCTCGGTTGACTGGGGAGGTTTGCTTGGACAGTTGGAAACCAGTTGGACATGATGTGCCCATACGCCTTCAGTTCGACCATTCAAATCATGAAATCTTGACCTGGTTTTGTCAAACATCCTGGATGTTCATCTTTAGTATTTGAGGTCGACCATCCGATACAATGGCTGGGAATGGAATCCCCCCACTGTTTCAGTCATCAGACGGGTGAGTATTTGACCGGATCTCCGGAAAAAGAAACAGGAAGAATAGGCTTCAACGTATTGCATGGCAAAGGTTCTTTTTTCCGAACTTTGGACCCTTAAATGAATCAAAACCCACCTGTTAAACACCCACTCACGCTTCTTTTTGCTGTCACAGTTCTGCACAGAATTCTTCCACATAAGAGTTCCTGCGCGTTTCCTATGCCAGAACACCGCGCCAATGTCGTCCCTCCGTTCTGGGAGGACATGCAGATGTTCTCACAGATTTTGGACTCCCTGGCGGCCGGCCAGACCGGCCACCCGAACGACGCGGGAGCCGCCGTGGCGACGGCTCGGCGACAGCGATCACCGGTGCTCCTGGAGCGTTCCAAAGAGGCGGAGGTGGTGCAGATCACGGTGGACAAGGACCGCGTCCGCGGAGAAGGCGGTCAGGGTCAGTAGCTGTGGTGCACACCGGATTTTTGACCACATGTTCTGCAGGGCAGGAGAAAATGAGCTCTGAAGAAGCTTTGATCGGATGCTTCTTGTGAGAAGCTCTTATCACGGCTCGCAAGAGCAGTATCAGTTGACGAAGTCCCACTGTACTGCAGGTAGACCTTTACACGCAATCAGACCTTTATATACTTGAATCAACTGCAGGAAATGCTGGGTCGGCTCAACAGAAGGTTTAACAAAAGTGCACTAGCCCTTTAAAGGAGGTTAAACAATTTTTGCAGGTACGTGGAAGTGGCGTCCCATTTCCATATCCTCGGATACATCGCCAGCTTCGTTGACCAGGCGACGATGTATCCTGCCTGGTCCCCTGCAGCGTTCCTTTGGAACAGGTGTTGACACACACACACACACGCTCACCTTTAGCCGGAACGGCGCACCCTCTTTTCCACGGGAAGGGGAATGGGGGGGGAAGGGGATGTGGGAGTGCGTTGACTAAACGAGCCTGGCTGTCAACCTAACAAGCCTGAAGAAAAGAACAAGGACAAGCGAAAAAGGCAAGGAAAGAAAAGAAAAGGTGCAAGGGGGGGGCCGGGTGTGCGTTGACTAAACGAGCCTAAACGCCGACCTATCAAGCCAGAAAGAAAAAGGCCAAGCAAACGAAAAAAGGCAAGGAAAGAAAGGGTGCAGGGGTGTGCGTGGGGTGTGAGGGGGGTATTGTCAGCTCAGGCTCGAAGGCACTTGACAAAAAGCTGATATCGGCGCACCCGTGACTAAAAGCATTGGTTACACCTAAAAGCTAAAATGCCTTTAGCAAGAAAGAAGACCTAGAAAACGAAGAGCAACAGCAGGAGAAAGAGAACCAAAAGGTGAATACTTAGCGGAACCTATGAATACTTAGCTGTCCTAGAGCCTATGATTACTTAGCAGCATGGTATGTCATTCTTTGGAAGAAGTTTCAGTGAGCCCTGCGGCATAGGATCAGCAATCTCGAGCAGAACACTGTAGCCAAAGAAGTCCACGAGCAGGCCGAGAAGCCAGTGGAGGTTCACCCGTAAGGGTATGTGCATATGCTGCGCCCCTTGCTGGGGATCACACCACAGCCCACAGTGGGACTCTGTGGTGAGACACACTTAGATAAAGGCTCGCAAGAGCAGTATCTGTTGACGAAGTCCCACTGTACTGCAGGTAGACCTTTACGCGCAATTAGACCTTGACTTGAACCAACTGCAGCAAATGCTGGGTCGGCTCAACAGAAGGTTTAACAAAAGTGCACTAGCCCTTTAAAGGAGGTTAAACAATTTATGCAGGTACTTGGAAGTGGCGTCCTATTTCCATATCCTCGGATACATCGCCAGCTTCGTTGACCAGGCGACGATGTATCCTGCCTGGTCCCCTGCAGCGTTCCTTTGGAACAGGTGTTGACACACACACACACACACACGCTCACCTTTGAGATTTACAGACAACAGTGCAGGGATCGAACCATGTACGCTGCCTAAAATAGTTATGAAGGTGGATGGCACCACCTGTTTGGTATTCGGACTACGGTCATCCGAACAAAAGGGGCCATCCCATCCACAGGCCCCCATGACTCTTCCAGACATGTGTCCGGTCCAAACCTCACTGACCGCTCCGAATCCTTCGCAACATCTTCGCCACACCGACCCGTAACGTGTCCTGGAGGACTCTTGCGTGTCCCCTGCAGCCAAGTCCAAGTCGCCCACGCGGCCGGTGCTCTTCAGCACCTTTACATCCCTCACCGGTGACAGCGAAGCGCGCGAGCTCGCGACCCCCGCCCAGGGCAGCGCGTCGCCGTCGCGCGGCGACAGCGGCGGCGAGGGGAACAACGACGAGGAGTCAAAGCCGAACTCGGAGAAGGCGACGCCGCGGCTGAAGCTGAGTCGGATCCAAAGCCACTTGGAAGAAGATCCAGGTGACATGGTGAAATTCAAGTTATAGGTTTTTTGGGGGAAAGATGGACGAGTTGTGTCTCGAAACGCTGAATGCAGCATGGATGAGCCTTGGATGGGGCGGGTGGTACCTTTGGCTGAATTCACCATTCTCAACATGGAGGGGCCATGATTTCTGAATCAGACCTGAAATTGGACGATCAAACTCCAACTATCCATCACCTGCAGCATCCTCAGTGATTTTCAGACCACCCGCCACCCAACAGTACAGCTATCGAAACCGAGGTCGAACGCTTTCTAGGTCGAGCTGCGAATAGACCGAGCCAAGATCTTTCGACTCCTTCCCTTGTGACCGACATCCAATCCCTTCGATTCGCAAAGGCTCCCGACCGAGTTCTTCACATGGCCACGCCAGAAAATCCAGGTGTTTCATACGGTTTCTATTATATATGTGTGATGGGTTTCTGATGGTTTCTGTATGTTGGCCACCCAGATGAGCAAGAGATGACAAGAGTGGATGGTGCAGAAAAAGAATACATCAGCCCCTCGCAGTGTGAGGGACCATGTGAGATCCGGACACTGTGTGAGCCATACACCGTAGAGTCCACCCACCGGTCGAGTCCACCAGAATCCACCAGAGATCTTCCATAGATCCATGAGCTGTTTGTTTGTTTGCTTATAGCTAAATCCGGTTTTACCCCAGCCCCATCCCACTTCAGTTCGATGCCGCCCGATGTTGACGCCCGAGGCACGATGTCGGCTCCGGCACGCTTCGTGTATTTGAGCCCAGAGAGGCGGGACCGTCTGGCCGTCTGGAGGGTGATCCACTTCCCCGAGGGTGACCTGACCCGGGATGGCTGTGTGGGCGTTATTTTTTTGCGTGGTCCATTCTTTTTTTTTCAGGCGCCCTTCAAATTGGGTGTTCAAAATGGAGATTCTATAATTAGGTGGATTGGTTCGATTGATTGGGACTTTCAGGCAGGTGACCCCGTAAGGAAGCCCCAGGCATCACCTGGTCATCTGAAGACACGCCGCACTCTCCCAAAACACCAGAAGCGCCGAAGCGCCGCGCCCACGACGTGCGACAACAAATGCAGGAAGCGCCACGTGCTACAGCGCAGCGAGTATTTGGAGAGCAGCATGACGTCGCTGGGGCTGAAGACGAGTTGGGGCCGTCTTGACCCTGTGTCCGATGGCCGGGCCGCCGCCCAACCGGCTGGTTGGATTGTCTTGCAAAAAAGGGTGCGTCCCCCAGGCAATATCCCAAAACCATGCTTCCGTGCTTGATCCTTGTGTTTTTCTTCGTTATCTCGTCGATCCGAGGTCCTCCTACATGCAGATCCACGACTTTCATCCTTTGCCCACCTGGGCGCGTGAGGCCAAAAACGAGCGCGACCCCTCTGCCACCATCCGCATCAGCGGCGAGGCGAAGTTACCCAGCAGCTTCTTGGACGTGAAGACGGATCCGGGATGCAAGGTGCGTGCTCCAATGTGCGCGTTATGCAAGACAATCAAGGGACAGATTGGCAAAGCATTCCCAGTTGCTCAATTTGCCACTGATCTGTTGAATGACCATAATTTTAATATACATACATACATGATATCATGATACCTATAGAAGATCCAGCTCAAATAGTACCCTGGGACGCGAACAGGAGCAATGGGGACTCCATGTGAATGTCACAAAGGCGTTCCTGTTTTGTTGACGGCCACTTTTGTTGCAATTTTTGCTCAGGCCTGTGACAGCCTGATGAGCTTCCCATGTGAAGCCAATTTTGATATAGCCCCAAACTGGTTTTGCTCCTGATCCAGGCCGTTTTCAGGAGCACATCCACTTTGGCCGAAGTGAGGCAGCCAACTCGCCGTTTGAGGATGATTTCTGGAAGAGGCTACTTGTTTGAGGGATGTTTTACTCAAGTTACCTAGAAGAGGATATGTCATGAGTCATGATGTGTCCACTGCCCCGTCGATCAAGGATGATCAATGTCCTGATTTGGCGTCGAATGATGCTCAACCTTGCTCCAACGTAGTTTTACCCAGCTGCCTTTTAAGATTTATTAAGTGTTGAGATGATCCGACTGGAAACGACAGCATAAAATCACTTTGTCGGGCTGTGGATTCGCTCAAAAGGCTTTCTGGTTTGTTTGAGACGTGAGCAGGAATCCATGGTGAAGTTTTCTGCAAAAAAGGCAATGTTTTTTTGTTCTTAAAATGTGCTTTACACATGCATGTATGCATTTACGTTTTACACATGTATGTATGGGCAAAAAGGCTCCAAAAACGGCCTACAAAAGGGCCTTCGGAGCTGGTAGGATGTAGGTCCTTCCCTCTTTTACATCCTTTTGACCCGACCCAACCGGGTGTAGGTCTTCTCTTTTCTTCGGTGTCCTGTGGGTCTGTCCAAAACAGGTAAGACTCGGTCAACAAGACCTGTCGGCCTGCAACTGAACCATCCGCTCCCAGCTTTGGTAACAGGATATACCCAACATGTATACCTATATTGATATGACAATCTATGACAGGTGTTTTTTTCCCCATTCCTTTGGATGATGGGGTACAACCAATGGCACATACAAATAGATGATAGTACTGAAATGGAGTTGTTTGATTTCTTGGCCCTTTTCTGTACATTGGACATGACAATGTCGTCTACTCCCATGGGGTCCCATATTCAGATCACATCAGGTTGGAGGCCATCATGGCCATCGCTCTTAAGTTGGAGGCCATAGCTATTAGGTTGGAGGCCATCCTTCTTAGGTTGGAGGCCATCCTTCTTAGGTTGGAGGCCATCACTATTACGTTGCAGGCCATCGCTATTAGGTTGGAGGCCATCGCTATTAGGTTGGAGGCCATCCTTCTTAGGTTGGAGGCCATCACTATTAGGTTGCAGGCCATTGCTATTAGGTTGGAGGCCATCGCTATTAGGTTGGAGGCCATTCCTTTTAGGTTGGAGGCCATCGCTATTAATATGGCCGATTCGTCCAATACTTTTTCCCCAATCAAACACATCGGCGCGTTTCGCTGGTCGAACCTGAGGCGGCGACTTCGCGGACGACGTGACCGGTGGGGCCATGGTGATCCAGGAGCAAGCGGCCAAAGGGTTCGCCGTTGCAAGCGGCCAGGGTGGGAGGTTTGAACTGGTTCATCTAGCATCATCTAACATCATCTAACATCAGTTCATCTCACCTCATGATGTCCTCATGGCCAAAGCTTCCAAAGGCATCTCTCGACTGCATGCTTTCTTGGACCTTCCAGACGCTTTCTACCCAAAAGCAGACAGATGCTTTGACGCGCTCCGGATTTCAGTCGCTCACGCGTTGCAGGAGTCATTGGGCTTCCTGAGGCATTTGATGATCTTCCCCAGCAGCCCAAGGAAGATGACCTGGGACGTCTTTGGTGCTACCTTGATCGTCCCACGACGCGGTTCTAAAGAGAAAAAGACTCATCACGGTTATGTCGTCAGTAGTGATTTAGTGATTTATTGGATCTGTGAATCTGTGCAGTGAATCAAAGACACTGCGGGCATTTTGAGGGACGGTGTTTGAGCATGGAAACTTGGAAGGCAAGACAACACGTTCAATGTCTAATGTCCAAGTTTTTTTCTGCCTAACCAGCTTCTGTTTCACAGCGAGTGAAAAGCCTTTCAGGTCTATGACCTCTTCACGATCTCCATGCAAGTCTTTGATCCACCAGAGACAGACTTTACCAAAAGCATGCAGTGGCTCATCCTGAAGCTTGGCGCACATGTGGACGTTGTAGCAATATGGAGTGGTTGTGCTTGTACAGGTAGGATTATGTAGGTCGGTATTTCATGATATGTCATGATAGAGGTTCTAATTAACATGTACAAGCAGACCTTATTGATTGGTTTATACAAAACAGACATGTTTTGAGGAAAAACGCACTTGGGCGCTTCGCTTGTGCTCACGGCTGCTGTTTAAAGTTTAAACTGCATAAGGATTGGATGTAATTCCCAAAAAGAGGGAACTACTTAGGAACAGGAACCCTGCCTGGCAAGTGAGGCTGAACTCGCAGGCCATGTGTGTCCAAGTTCTTGGAAAGCGTGTGTGTAGAGGATAAACAGACAGCTCTGTGAAGAACTGAATGGAAAGAACACGAGGGGATGCCTTACTTGCCTTTATCTGCACCAATGAATTCCGAGTGTTGCTCAACATGCTGAATCGTTGATCAGATCAAATACAAATCCGGACAAGAAACCAGTCGACCGGCACCGACCGGTTTCGACCGGCACCGGAAACCGGTACATCGACCCCGGCACTCTTGCCGTGGCCGAACGGTACATCGATGGTGAAAAGAAGGTGCGAAAAAACGCATGTCTTCGGTGCAGCCGGCTAAGCCCTTTGGACAAGTTGAGAACTACGTTTTTGAACATGTTGAAAATGGTTCTACAGATGGTAGAATCAGACATGTTACCATCTTAGAAGGCATGTTAGAAGAATCTATGATTGAAGGATGCTTCTTGTGGGAACACTCCAGTACACGAACGACATGCATGTTATTCCTATTATAGGTGATTAGTTCTATCTGTCTCCAGTAAGTTTCATTCACCACTTGCTGATCAGCTTTATTCCCCAAAAAATGACTAGTGACTAAGGAATGATTCTTGACAAGAATCAGTGCATTTGTTTCTCACATTCCCCAAAGCCGGCTGAGTAGCTTCGAATCCCAGGATCTATTGGACCATGAACATGCTGGTCTCCTGCATGGTGGGACTGAGAGTAAACAGTCCGAGACGCTCGTGAGCGGGAGAGCTTTGACGCGGCTTCCATCGGTCTCGGCCACCTGTGTAGGTCTTGCAAAGAGGATGCATCGGTCTCGTAGAGAAACCTCCCAAAAGACAAACATGTCGACCCACACACATCGCTTCAAATTCTCCCTACCAGACTGCGAGGAGCAGACCGGAGTCTTTGTATGTCTTTGTGGTTCATTTCTGCTCGCCCCTCCATCCCTCGACTGGGAACTGAATGCCGCAGTCCTGAACTCATTGTCATTTATTTGTTTGAGTCAGAAGAGCTGCCAGTATGGTAGCATGTAGTAATTTTCCTCCACAGAACTACTGAACACGGCCCATGTGGCGGTGCTTGCTGAAATAGATTCCCTATCATGTTCTTTTTGAAACAACAGTCGAATTCAGAGAACTCCTTACATCCTCATGTGGTATCATGTGGATATTCCCCAGTCACCCAGTCACGATGGTTTTACACGGTCGCCCCGGATGTGCCAAGGGAAGGCCATCTTTGCAGGACTTGCCATTTTCCACCTCCCACACCGCACCCCTCGCGGGACGTCGAACAGGACGCGAGCGCGTTTGGGGTTCGGTATAGGTGGGCTATATCGACAAGGGCATCTTCGTGATGGTGCCCATCAAGGTCTTCCTGCGCCCCGAACGCACCACTCGGACCGAGCCTTTGGGGGAAGGGAAATCCGTGATCGGCAGGGGTATCCCTGGGTGGATTTGGGGGGAGAGACATGTACATGCCACACAGTTTAAACATATAAAGTGAAAGGTTCGTGTACCGTTCACTGGCAGTTTGGGTGCTTGGATTTGGCCCGAAGGGGTTTGAGAGATAGAGAGAGAGAGAGAGAGATTGAGATTACATGAGATTACTATTCAGCTGGATAGCTAAGCCGCTGCTGGATCAGTAAGCAACTCCCAGCTGACAAAAACCTGAACAAGCCTGTTTGTCGTTGGCATCTCCACCATGGCTATAGAAGTTGTAGGTGACTTATTAGATGACTCTCATGTGTCCAAATTAGCAGGTCACATGGTCCTGCTTCGCCCTTTCTTTTTCAACCGGGTTGACGGGTGCTACCCGAAGGGTCCGAGATGACCGGGAATTAGCTCACCGAAGATTTACATACACGGATACCATGGATAGCCCTGAGTGCTTCCAAAGATAAAGGTCGATCCAATGGTCGACTCCCCACTCCCTGAAAAACAACAAGCGTGACCCGCTCAGGCACTACTTGAAGACCTGGTTCATCATCGATTTGGTGGTGGCACCTCGGTGGAGCTTTTCAGAGGATTTGAGCTTCGATTTGGGGGCCTGTGGTCCACCATCCCGCACGACTCCGCACGTGGGGGAGGGGGAGAGACTCCAACAGACCGTGTGACCGCGGTGCCTTGGGTTCTTAGTTCTTGTTTTTTCTCAACCGACCTTGGACCTTTGGAGGATCAGAGGGACTTTTGCCGAACGAGGGACTTCTGAAGCACCTCTAGCCGAGACGCAGAGACGCGTCGAGCCCGTCAGACCTGGATGGACAACGTTGTTGCAGTGGATGGTGGATGAATCAGACAGCTGGACAACCTTTCAATTATTTACCGGCTTGGATGATCCCTACGGACCCTGGGTGTGTCTAGATTGGTTTGGAGCCTGTGGGTCTCCATGTTTCGTCACATACCCATTGACAGCACACGGTGTGATGACGGCAAGGGGTGTTTGGGGTGTTTGGTTTTGGCGCGGGCATGCGCAATTTGTTTTGGACAGATACCAGCACTATTCTCACAAGCAAAACTTATACCGGGATACCAATACATCTGCAGCTTCTTGCAACACACACACATGACCTTCACCCCCTTTGTTTCCGTCGCCATCCCTGGCCACCCCTGGTCACCTAACAGATGGTTTGGTCGGCCAGATGTGGCACTTCCCTCAGGTGGGATCTGACTGGGCGTTCTCCTTGTCGGAGTCCACCGACAACGCTGGCAGCTCAGTGAAGCTGCTCCGCAGCCTTCGCCTCTTCCGCATGGCCACTTGGTGAGCACAGCCGCACAGCCCCACCGGTTTTCAAGCTCGGGTGAGGGTTCCCCGGTCTTTCGCAGATGAACCTGAAAAGGTGAGGGGATTCCCTGTGGGTGGGCTGTTGATTTCCCTTTGAACTCGCTTCCCGTTACTATGTAGACATTTGTAGACAAGTCGATGGCGGAAGGCGGATTCCTCCACCATCCATCCACCCGAGCAATCATAAACATGTTGCTGCCGTTTTTGCAGGTCGATTCCTGGCTGAGAATCCAAATGCTTGAAATCCAAGTGCATGAGAAACCTCATCCCAGTCCCCATCATCCAATGACAACGAATCCTCCACGTCCATCCGAATCATCCGGTAGCCGTACATAGGCGTCCGTTGTCCTCGTTCGGTACCGTCGCCTCGACCCAGGTGCGGCTCATCCGCATCCTGCGGCTGCGGAAGACCATGGAGAGCTACCTGGTTTCGATTCGGGTGAGACTAGTGGAGACCGGAGACACAGGGTGTGTCTGGATTTAAGGTGGAAAAATTGTAGATGAAAGCCCAGTGCCAGTGCTGTTTAATTAGGGGGGTTCTCATGGTTTCTTATTCGGCGAATGGAGAGGTCCGCACTTTCCATAGGCTTCTTTTGATGGACTCTTGGGACAACCTTCGGGGGTGAAGATAGTGGTCCCCAAGTAGATAGTGGCACGCTTTCCAATACATTCTTAGTGTGGATCTACTGTTCTATATTAATATCTATTTTGTGATTTTTTTGGGTCTACACTTTGTGGATGATCCTTCAACCAAGCAGTTTTTTGTTCAGGTTCTTCAACTTAGTTTGTGAGTCCGGCCTTCCAACAAACAACATCTACAGCCCACAGCTGGGATGGACTCCCGCTTTGACCTACTTCAAAAAAGTAAGCTTTTCCCTCCCATATAGGTCTGACACACACACAAAAATACCATGGATTCATGGGGGTCGAACATATGAACCAACATAACATAGCATAACATAACATAACTGTTGGATTTCCTATTGGCTTTGTCCATTGCAGAAATAACTAGAAAGTAAAATACAATATAATGCATAATATGTTACATAATTAACTGTCAATTCTGCTCATATGTTACCCTGGAAGTCAAAGACGGCTTTGTAGTGTAAAACCCTTAGTGAAACAGTCTGGTTTTATTCGGGATTCAGGCTATTAAAGCAATGGTGGTTCAGCAACTACGGTTGGACCCGACCACCGACCACGTCGCACGGGTCGTCAGGCGTCAGCGACCTGGTGGACTCGGAGCCCTTGGGACGGTCGAGCGTGGGGGTGAGGGTTTTGGAGGGTTTTGGAGGGTTTGGAGGGTCTGTGGGGGGTTTGGGTGCCTCAAATGGGTTGGGTTGCGTTTTGGTTGGGGTAGATTCAACGGTTTTTGGACGAATGGTTTGGGGGATTCCAATTTGGGAGTCGAAATTGGTGTGCCAATCCATCATGTGTTCTTGCTTGTCCAATATTGGATTCACGCTGAGTATGGTCGTTTTATGTTTTGTTTGTTTCCTTTTTTGGGCGGCCAAGAGCTTTCGGCGCCGGAGAGGCTCGACGGAGGTCTGTGGAATCCATAGGAGCAACCGACGCAATCCTACACATGCGACTGGGTGATTAGATATTACTCGGTAAGAGCTGACAAACAAATCTGGCTGTCATTGGGTGAAGGTGCAGATGACGGCATTTTGCATGAGTTGGCTTTGGTATACTGTATATGGTGCATACCTAGAACCTCTTCTTGGGCAGAAATTTCTGCCTATTATGGGTAAAGGCGGCTTTGCCCGTGCTTAGGCGTTCTTGCCCCCCCGTACAGTAGGCGTTCTTGTCCCCTCTAGGCGGTCTTGTCTTTTTGGTGGCGTTGCTCAAATAGATGAGGATCCACCCACCAGTGGTTCACGGAACTTCCATAGTGAGGTACATTTGTTTATTGTGAATTCGCTTGATGTTTCTCTTTTGTATGGTCTTAGTATTTCTATGTGTTCTTTGTCATTGTTTCAATGCTTTAATATATTTTTGCGTAAGTGTTCTTCCCGTCGCTTAGGCGTTCTTAACCGTTCCCCCTCACTACAATCAGTAGTTGGGATACTTTAGACTTGGAATTGACGTCAGGCGCGTTGGTTTTCTCAAAAGCTTGTTCATTCAAATTCTGGCTTTGCCGCCTGCATGTAAGAATGCATGTGATTGTTGTGCCTCGGCGTGTTTGACCCTTGAGGCTGCAGCTTAGTCGTTCTTTGCAAAAATGGGCAGAATTTTATGCCTAAAGGGCGTTGGGCGGAACATATTGCCTAACGAGGTTCTAGGTATATTCACCGTTTGCATCCGCTTGCCAATTCCTTGGCAGTTGAGTTTGGCGAGGTATATCAGTATCATTGTGAGTATTTTCAAGATGCTGGCATTGCTTATGATCGTCAACCACGTATCATGGCAAGGATTCAGCGGCAACCTGATTCCGGATGCAACTGGGGCGAATGGGTCAGGGGCAAAGCTACACAAACATCGTCATGAGACTTATAACCAACTGACACAGATTGCAGAATGCTCTTTTGTGTACGATCGCAGAGCTGTTTGGCAGAGCTGTGTTCCTACTCTTTTGAAGGATCATGTTTCATTCTTTCATCAGGGTGTTTCATGAATCATAAGCGCGTACTTCGGATGCTAGATACTGCTGGACTGTCCCTTGTCCAACAGTTCGATTCTGAGCGAAATGAGTTCCGGCGAGGAAATGTGGGGGAATAGGTCGGTACAGTCGTCAGTCATAGTGCAGTGACTTTGGGCGACTGGCACGGAGTTGATTTGTTCCGCCAAGAGAGCGGTCAAAGAACACACAAATGTCACGGGAAATAGCATGCTTCCCATCCAACATGGCCGGGGTATGTGGCATGATGCGTCTACTGGGGCCTCCCAGAAAGCTCCCAAACCGAGAAATAGCGTTTGTTGAGTGGAGCTCCACAAACTCGGATTCGTTTTGATGTGATATCATTCTTTTCATCAAACCCCGCATTCATTTGCTGCTCTGACTCCTTTTCAACCAATCCCCTTCAGTCCGCATGCTTCACCGGACGGCGACTCCGGGCTCCGCTCCGGCTCCGCTTCGATCCGAAGAAGCTTTCACCGAGGTCATCGCGTGTTTTTGGTTCTGGATTGGCGACTCTGCTGGGGGATGGATCGAAATGCACCACTTGCTGGATGAGCAGTGGGAATATCAGCAGCTGGGTATGCACGGTATGGATGAGTTAGGTTTTGGGCAGGGTTTGACGAAGGTCCTGTTTCTTCATTAATTTTTATTGTTGTTTTGGTGTTGTTTGGCTATGACCGTGTTTTGAATCTACTATATATTTATGTGCTCGGTTCTGTTTGTGCCAGGGTCTACACTGAAACAGCATTCAACAAATATGTTTTATCCGCCAACGACAAAGCCATGGATCACGGGTATTGAGATGTATTGAGCACGTGTCATTGTTTGCCTCATTCATTCATTCATTCATTCATTCATTCATAACTGACTCATTCGTAGCAATCATCACGTGCCGTCTCTGGTGCATGTGCCGTATCTTTGCCTTTGAACATCGTCCGTCACCGTCACGGCACAGTCCTATGATACGCAAGCGTGTACGAGACGTTGAAACTCAACTGATGTGTCGGTCTTGTCATCGCCATCTATTGGAATCAAGGGTTCAACAGAGATCATCAAAGTGGGTGGTAAAATGTGGTAACTTACTTTTCTTCCAGTGATCCCCACCATGACATTTCAAAAACATGTTGGCATATTTTGGCATTCTTTCCGGTATAACTTCTGACATTGTTTGACATTATTATTTCTGGCATATCTTTTGACATTCTTTCATCTGACATTCTTTCTGACAGTATTTTCGTCATATCTTCTGACATTTTTCTGGCATCACTTCTGACATGCTTTCTGGCATATCTTCCGACATTCTTTCTGACACTCTTCTGGCGTTCTATCTGTCATGAGGTTCGGCGGGGAACACTGGCACGCGCGGCGGGGAACGCTGCCAGCCGGAGCTCGCGGTTGAGGTCCGGCGGGGAACACTGCCAGCCCGAGCTCGCGGTTCAGGTCCGGCGTGGAACACTGCCAGCCTACACTTGTGGTTGAGGTCCGGCGTGGAACACTGCCAGCCGACACTTGCGGTTGAGGAGAAGGAGAAAGAGGAGGCGGAGGAGGAGCAAGGCAGCTGACATAAGATCTACCAACCCTCACCTAACATATAAAAAACATTGAAACAACACTTCTAACTCTAGCCTCCTGGAGTCTAGGGGAACATGGAAGTGGACAGTTAAGGAACAGGGTCTATGAAGGACCCATGGTCAACTGCAATGATTGTTGCAGGGAGGGTTGGAGTTGTTTGCTCTTTTTGCAGAAGCTCTGCAGCTTTTGACGGCCCAAAGCGTACCAGGTCAGTCACACCAGGTCAGTACCCCCTCCGGCCACGGCCGCACACGACGAGCGGTGTCGCTACGGTTGGTCGAGGTACGCCACGAGTCTTCATTGGGCCATCACACAATTCACGCCCGCCTCCATGCACATTCAGCCGCAGAATCTTCATGTGCCCCGGCTCGGGACAAGTTCTCGGTGAAGCTTCATGGGCGCACAGGCTTTTGGGACATTGGCACTCAGGTTTTTGTGTGTTATTTCTCTGAAGCCACGTGTTTTTTAAAACTGTTAAGCCAACATCACGCACAAATGCTGAAGACCCCCAACTGCGGAACATGCTGATCCAGTCGGACAAAAATCCTCACGTCACGTCATGTCGCTTCCAGGCAGCCGAAACCGACATTGATGCGACAAAACGCAGCAACCATTCCGTAGAATGAGTGATGCAAGTTGTTAAAAAACCTTTGGTATAGGGCCCTGGTAGGGTACGTGGTATAATTGTTCAGTTAAGTAAGTAGCACAAATTGATAGTTGCATAATTTGCACAAAATCGACATGAGGAGCGTTTGTTTGCCTTGGGCGTGGTGGTCTTCGCCTTGGTGGGCTTCTCCTATGCGACTCGGATTTGTTTCGACGTTCATTGCAAAAATCGTTCAATTCGAGTAGGTGTTGACATTCGTTGTGTTTGTTTCACCTGGAAATGTTTGAGACTCTGACTTACTATTAATTGATTGATTGATTGATTGTTTGTTTGTTTGTTGTTTTTTACTGTTCTGTTGGTGCACGATTTTTACATGTTGTATGATGAACGCCAGCAATCTCACTCAACCCAGTGGTGTTTACATGGACATATCGTATACATGTTGATCAAATTTTTGTTCTTTGATATAGATGTGTGTCACGTTGTGATTGTTTCCCTGTGGTATGGCTTGGACTGAGTCCAAAGAACCACACGTTTTACATGCCGAATCAGCTTGCGGGTATGACTCGTGCCGTACGTGGTCTATGATTATATAATCACGTAAGAACAATCGTTGCATGTTCGGTGATGTTTGACGGCTCCGCAGGGGGGGCCTGCATCATGAAACACCACCCAGTCTTAGACCCTTTCGTTTTATGGGGCCCAACACTTTCCAATCACATCCAAGTTGCCAGTGATCATCGAACTGCTTTGCTTTCCCTGAGGTGGTGGGAAGTATATCTGGATCACTCGCACAGCTGAGAGGCGAAGCCGCCTCCCGCGCGAAGCCCGCGCGCCTCCGAGTTGTGAGTCCTCAGGGAAAGACAGCAAAGGGCTCTGAGTCGAACGATCCACTTGGTTTTGGGGTGCGTTGGTGTGAGTGGCAGCCCAATGGTCAGCTGGGAAAAGGATGGAAAAGGTCTTCAACCAGCATGACTTCCAGCCCAACGGCCAGAAGGGATTGAGAATACTCTGGACACTGTCTTTCGCTTGTAGCTCTCCCCAACGCGCTACTTCACTCAGCCTTCACTCAGCGTTCTGAATATATCAAGACATATCAAGACCTTTACTTTTGGTCATGTTGATGATGTTGAGACAGAGAGACCCACTTGCTGAAACCAGTGCTGAAACCATTGTATAAATTTGCTTCTTTGTTGGATGTTTGGATGTTAAACCTTTTCCCAAACGAACCGACCGAGATACTCCATGTGCCACTGCGCCACTGCGCCAGGCATGACCGAGAACCGGGCACGACAGTTCCAGGGCTGAGCAGATTTTCTCGAGGTGGCAGCACGCAAAAGCCAGTAGCTCCATGTAGCTGGGAAGACTAGGAGACGTCTCGCAGGCTTCTTTGAGAGGCTCTACGATTGACCTCGAGATATTTCCATCTACGACCTAACCAAACTGCCAACCCTAGCCAGTTCAAGCTCAGATCTTCAATTTGCTCCAGCTTCTCAACCCAAGCAACCCAGTTGTTGTCGAAACCAAACATCCACCACCGACCGTGGTCAACCAACCGCTTCTGGTCAACCATCCCCCCACGTCGGAACGGACCGGTCTGAGGTTCTGGGAGTTGCGACGGCATTTGCGGAAGAACAAGGTCTCCATCACCCTCAATGCACGGATCCAGACCCACGGAGAGAATGAGATAAAGGCTTGGGCTTGGGGGAGAACAGATCGGTGACCAAAAAGAGGTTCGGGTTGACATCCTGGATACGAACTAGTGAAGCAAATCACCCCTCCTGCTGACTGGATGGAATTGGAAAGACTAGAAAGGCACTTGAAAGGATAGAAGAGAGTGAATCTTCTGAGGATTTATCCGCGCTTGTTTGTCTCAGATCGGCTGGCAGCCCAGGATGCTTAGATCAAAGGCAAACGGAAGGGTAGTGCACAGAAAGGGTTTGCAAAAACCTATTCTACTAACGTCGTGGAAGGCGCGTGACCTTCGTAGAATCCAAGGCTGTTCGTGGACAGATCGTGGAATGGTGGGCCAGTAGGAGAACTGACTGCAACGAAATCCCAGAAACCTTCGCAGAACTTCGTGCAAGGTATTTTTGATGCACTAACTTTGTATAAGCAATTTTTGCTGACCCCCTTTCTCCACACACCCTCCGTTTAGCCTTCATTAGACCGAGAGAAAGCATTCAGAGCTTGCATGAACAGGAGGTTGAAACCCATACGACACGCATTCAGATGCATTCGGGGGAGACCCTTTGTAGAGGGTCAGTCCATGCCTGACGATGGGCGGTCTTCCCATGGATTTTGCCCAAGTTCACTGACTCGTCAGAGAAACTTGCGAGGGCAATACAACGTGAGTGCATCCAAGATTTAGAGCCCTAACCAATCATGTTAAAAAAGCAAACATCCATGTCCAGTTTGCACTTGCCTAGGTTATTACTTTTTTCTTGAATTTCATCGGTTTGGAGAGCCACTTGGGCCTTTTTCTCACGCGGCCACTTTGGGTGGAAAACCAAGGAAGTACGTGGAGCATGTGCTGGAGAGCCACTTGGTGCGGCGGGTATAACTTGTCACACGATGTGAACGTCAGCCCAAACACGTACCTAGTAAGGATATACTTGTCTCTATAACTACTAACATCTAGTAACCTCTGAGGAGGATATAATCAATTCATTTATAGTTCAGCGATGTATCCCAACCACCAAGTGGAACTTTCCAATCAATCCATCCTTTCCACATGCCTAGCATGGGGGTTTGAGCAAATGATTTAGGTCGAGTGATCAGCAAATGAGATTCCACCACTTTTGATGAGAGAAAGCGGTCCTCAATCATTCCACCACCCCAGTGCAATGTGCGCTGACTGACTGCGTTTCGTTTGGATGTTTTTGCATGTAAGGATATTAGGCCAAGATGAAAGCAGGGGGATACATGCTGAGGTGATAGGAACACCAGAGTCAGTGTCAAAATGGTTCTCGAACTCTCAATGAAAGGAGCAGGCTTTATCAGGTGCTCACTCATTGAAGTTCGACCCCCACTCGGCATTTTGGGCCACGACGGCGACTCCGAGCTACGATGGGAGCCACTCCTCATGAACCGACTGACGCATCCCAGCCGAGGCCAAGAGGAGAACGTCCCAGCAGAAGACATTAAACTCCTCACGCTGCTCTCGGAGCAGCTCCGAAGCGAATTGGAGTGCCACGCGGCCAGAGCCCGAAGTCCGTGGGACGGAAAAACCCACGTGGACGAACCTGAAAGTCAGTCGGGGGACGGACTCTTTTTGCGGAAGGGTCCAAACGGATGTGGAAAACACTCCGAGGTCGTTGTTCAGAGAGATTCACTCTCTACTTCCTTGTTTTACGCACCCCCCCCAATAAAAAGAACAAAACCTCGCTGGGCTTGTATTATAGGTCCATTGTGGGGTATGACCCATGAAAGGAAAAGCGTCAGATTCCTGGGTTTTGATGCCATTTGCGCCCAACCGATGTTCATGCCCAAGGTGAGATTTGCATGCCTCACTTCTCCGTTCACCCCCTCTTCGCACGGCTCTGCGTGGTCTCCCGTCACACGATCCATCGCCTGGCCAACAACGCGATTCAAAAGAAGCAGTTGGCCAGGAGCGGTGTTGGCGGAGGTCGTGTTTCGGGTGTCGGTTGGGCGGAGAAAACGCTTGGGCAAGGGGATGCTGCAGTTTTGTTTTGGTTTTGATGGGGTTGAAGACTGCTTTTGCATAATCCATTGGGATTTTGCTGGGGAAGGAACCAGTGAGGGCCTGGGTTGATCCAATATTTTCATGAAAGTATACAGCTGGTTACAATGGCCGCAGATTGGTTGGGGTTTGCTTTTTCAAGTCCTTCAAATATCGAAGGTGGTCAGGCGGACAAAAACTAGAGGTGGGTCATAGTATGTCATGATTGACATCCATGGATTTTCTTGGAGATAAGCAGAAAATCAGTTGTAGGTCACTCAACATTGTTTTAGGGCGGAGTGTTGTGTCGGCTAGTACTTTGGCTACTTCCAAGTTGCATGTTTGGCCTTAGGAGGCCTCAGAGAGAATGTGGGCTTCCGAATTAGTCCTTTGGCCCAAGCGGCATCCTCTTTACTACCAGTCACTACGTCCCTTTTTGCTGGGTGCTGCGATCATCTATACTGAAATTTCTATTGGTCCCACACTGAGGCATCTCACTTTGTGGTCACCCTGTGAGGCATCTCCAGTTTCTGAAAGGATTTGCTCGATGATCAATCGTAAGTTGAGCGGGAGAAGCTGGCCTGTTGGGTGTCCAGATCTTCACAGACTGGAAGGCCACAGGGTCCTGGACAGCAGATGGTGACCGAGTGACCGAGCGATCATCCTCAGGATGAGCGCTCTATTGCAGTTCAGTCTATTGCTACTTCTACATAGTTTGGAAGCAGCGGGACTTTACTGACCTTCATTTAAAAAGAAAACAAACCATGAACCAAACCAATGCTCAGAAGTATTATACCTCTTCTTGGTTGGGAGTCCTCCTCGTCTGGACCTGTCGCCACGTCCACGCGGCGCAGGACGGACAGCCTGTTCCTCCCTGGAGAGACTGCGACGCACATGTACATCGTGGTCTATGGAAGGCCCTGACCGCGGGACGTGGGACCTTCACAGATGTGGACGGAAACCGCGGCAAGTGTACGCAACGCAAAGACCTTCGCGGACGGAAACCGGTCCTTTCGGGACGACCTGAGGCGAGATGGTTTGTTCTAGAGACCGACTAGATTAGATTTGTTCCTCAGGGGCAAGGCAAGCACTTTGTGGAAGCAGATGCAGGACATCAATTAATATAGTATAGTAGAGTGTATAGTATAGTGTATATATATATATATCTTATAATATTGTTTTTTGTGAAGATGTGTTTTGCACGATTAACCTCATGTCGGAGGGAGCTTCAAATTGGACGTGTCCCGTCACCGAAGATATCGGGCATGGCATAGCCTGGCTGCCTTGGATTTTGAAGGTCCATGAAGCACAGCGATGTCTTTTTTTTGTGTGCGTTTTTTCCCCACCTGCCAGGTGAGGGTTGTTAGATTTTATCACAGTTGTTCTTCCTCCTTCCTTCCCTCCTTCCTTCCTCCTTGCTTCCTTCCTCGCCAACCTCCTCGCCAATCTTCATCGCCAATCTTCTTCGCCAATCTGCTTCCCGGATCGCAGTGTGCACCCCTGGACCTCAACCGCAAGGATCCTTTCGCAGTGTGCACCCCTGGACCTCAACCGCAAGGATCCGATCGCAGT